AAACAACCAGGAGGTTAGACCCAAGGGATGCTGAAGAGGTCCTAGCATGCCTGACCTATTTTTTCCTCCTATATAAACCTCATATCCATTGGCATGTGGCAGGGATCAAGTAAAAGAGCCTAGAAATCAAGACTCAGAAGGCGCGTAATGGAATCAAATTTCTGCCTTGGGCAAGTTACTTAACTCCAGTGAATCTGTTTTTTCATCTGCAAATGTTTCACTAGTTACTTTTTTTTTTAGTCTAAATTTCCCAATATGCATCCTTCAAGATCCACACTTCTGAGCTTAGCCTGAAAATCTTCAGAGTCACACTTGCCCACATAATTAAAACAGTTGCCATGCTCTCCCTTACCACATGACTGTATCACATAGCATCATCACCTTGTTGACTACAGACCATTAGTCACTGAAGACTTGTAACTAAGTTTTCCAATCAATTTGTTCACTCATTCATATTGTTCATAACGCCATATGGCAACTATATCAACGTATTAGATTTTGAAAACAATAATCATACATTTGTTCTCGACTATTTACAAAATGTTCCACAACATAATCATCACAAAGATTCTGTTTCTACTTAACAGATACTTACACAATGTACTCACTATGTACCAGGAACTGTTTAATCCTCATAATAACTATATGATGGTAAAACTATTATTGATCCAATTTTACAAATGAGAAAATTTAAGATGAGAGAGGTCAGGTAACTCACCAAAGGTCACTACTATCAAGTAGCAGAACCAAGATCTGAACTCGGGAACTCTGCATCCAGAGTCTATGCTTTTGCTTTAACCACTATGCTGCCTCTTATGATACAGATGTTAATATTGCCGATTTTTAAGATGTGGAAATACATCTTAAAGATGTACTTCTTGGCTGGGCCTATAGTTCAGCCCATAGTTCAGCCCGTAATCCCAGCACTTTGGGAGGCTGAGGTCAGTGGATTGTCTGAGCCCGCAGATTTGAGACCAGCCTGGGCAACTTGATGAGACCTCATCTCGACAATAAATCAAAAATTAGCTGGGCATGGTAACACGCGCCTGTAGTTCCGGCTAATTGGAAGGCTGAGGTGGGAGGATCGCCAGAGTTCAGCAGGTCGTTGCTGGGGTGGCCGTGAGCATGCCACTGCACTCCAGCCTGAGCGACAAAGTGAGACTCCAACTCAAAAAAAAAAGAGATATATTTCTTAAGAGACTTACCTAATGTCACACAACCAGTAATAGGAGTTTATTATAATCCAGTGTTCTCTCTTTTCCACTTAGGGAATAGCCTGAAAAACATCCAGATTCTTCCCCAGGAGTGGAGATGAGCAGCACATCAGCATCCATGTCTAAAACACCCATCTTGACAATATGCTACATATGGGACCAAGATGCAAATCTGAATCCCTCTGCTGCATGCCTGGATTAGCTGGGCTTTCCCCCTCTTCTCCCTCATTCCATTCACTCAGTGAATTAACATGCACTAGCCACATCTAGGAAAAGGCTTCGACAAAGATAATACATCAAAAAATAAATTCACCTAAATGGTTTAAAAGGGTAGGTTTGGCTTCTTTTCCTTTGGTCTCATTTCACTTTAAAATATCCGAGCTACCACCACATGATAACCAATCTCTTCTTTTGGTTGTCAAGAAAACCATCTCACTGCAATTCTCAGGGAGGGGAGTAGTCAAGACGCAGGGCACATAAAAACCACCCTTCACAGCAGCAAGCCTTTTGCCCTGCATCTCTCTATAGCATCTGCAAATCTCATTCTGCTACTATGGGTTATTTTTCCCTCTAAGAAACTAATGCCCTTACAGTAGAAGCTGAGTCCAGAAATACTTGCTTTTCGATTGGGCACAGCTAAACACGCAGTGTTTTAGTGGGCAATGCTTAACCTATAAAAGAAACAAGATGCTTGGCTAATTCTAGCCATACATGAGCACAGTCTAGTGCTTTGTTATAGTAATCGTAAAGGAAGAAAGTTAAATGCATTTTAAAAATTCTTCCAGATGCCCAAATCGCCTCATCTTTGCGAAGATTGTTATGGTTCTAATTAGTCCCATGAAAGCATCTTTTTCTTTCTTGATGTATCCCTGCCTTCTATTCTATGCTTCCCCCGCCCCTTTTTTTTCCTTTTTTACATTTAGGAGCTGGCCTACAATTAAATGAGATTTTTCCACTTCATTCCCTGTTCTATCTTCTCCTATTAGAAGAGAAAATAGCTTTCCTGCCAGTATAGATGGCTTTAAACAAACTGTTTTGTCCCTTGCTGAATTATCTTCAGAAATATTTATTACAAAAGTATGTACTCCAGACCCTTAAGAGCAATCACTCAAACCCGACTAACACAAGCCCTCATCAATAACAGCTCTTACGAGGGAAATGTTTGAATATTATCTGCTCATTTGTAGGAATCTGCTGAAGTGGTGGTTCTTTTTAAGTCTCCACAGCGAGGTATGTTAATTACTCTGGTAATGATGGAAGATTAAATTAAGGGACTAATGAGCTTAGCATGAAAAACACCAGGGCAAGCTGGCAGCAGTCAGCAAACCAGAGGGCCACCCTGCCCTGCCTGCAGAGATGACACGCTTCTTTCATGATTCATTTGGTGCTTGTAGCTGTCCCCTTAGACACCGCCACCTAGGATGGAAGTCAGCGTGAGTCATTCTTCTTCACCGAGTGGTGTGGGCAGGAAGAAGGGCTCAGAGAAAATAAAGAAGCTCTAATGGATAAGAACTAGGAGCAGAACGAAGAAAGAAAAGAGGCTAAGAAATTATTTTTTTAAAGTATCATAATTTCGGCCATTGCTTTGCTAAGCTTCAGTCTGACCATGTGGCTCCGTGAGCTATGGCTGCTATGTTTCCTAGCTTTGCCCTCCACCCCACCTTGAGGAGGTGAATCTCCTCTCTCTCTCATTTATTTTCTAAATAAACTATATTTTCTATCTAAAAAAATAAAGTATCATAATTTCATGTCTATACTACAAATACCAACACATTCCATCATCACTAAATCTAGCTGAAGCATGTTTTAGAACAAAATATGTCTTTACAACATGTATAATCACTCCAAAGAAGTTTTTCTTAATTAGCATGCATGATGCTCATCGAAAATAATAAAAATGACACTTGTTTGCCATTTGAGTGCTGTCCAAAGAAGAGCAGAGGCTCAGAGTCTTCATTTTAACTTTGTCACTTAAAGGATGTGTGACCTTAAGTCAGTCATTGAATGCTCTCCTCTGAATATGCTTCATCACGCAAAGCACTAAGAGTTGATAATAATATCTGATAATTACTGAGTTGTTAAAAGGATTAAAGTGATAGTACATATAAAAATATATCAGCCTACAAAATCCATTAAAATATTAGTTATTATTACTATAAAATTAAGAAAGACCACTTAGTTATCTTCAAAAAGTCTCTTTATAGTCAACTCTGACAAACAGATTAAGGAACACACAAAAGTCTATGGACACCCCTCTGTCCCCAGTACCCAGAATACAACAGATGCTGAATAAATATTTTTCAGTGAACAAAGGGATTTCCCTCAAAAAAAAAAAAAAAATGAGCCAACACAATATATTTTCCATATCTAAGAAAGAGTAAGGCTATATATAAATTTAGTTGGTAATCAAGCTTAGGGGGAAAAAGGAAACTGTGATGCTTGCAACTTAGAGAAAAGTCCACATGCCTGGACTTGGGTGAAATCACGATAATACTTCAATGATATCTCAAGAAGTCAAAGGCAAGAAACCACCTCCCTTACCTGCCAGGGGACAAGGGACCAGTTCTCCTTCCAGTCGTGCTTCAACATCTCCTCCACTACAAGTGTCCCCAGAAATCTTCCGGTAGCTGTCATGCCCATCCCAAAAGCAAGAGGTCAGAAACATCAAAGAACAGTGGCAAAGGCATCCCAATTGGGAGCATATATCTTATCTAGGGACAATCAATTCCATCTATTCATTACCCTACAGAACAAGAAGGATGATGCTCCAGCATTCAAAGTCGGTTCTGCTTATAATTAGAATAGGCAGGCTCAGACAATTTAGGGCACTGTCCAGGGCAACATTTTAAAATATATCTCTTCGATAAACTCCTTTCAAGATGTTTCTTTGCTGAAGTTCACAGCTTAAGATACTCCTAGAGTTGCAGAGATGCTGACAGACTTGCAGTTTATTTTCTTCTCACTTGAGGTAGGAGAGTTTGAAGACATCATATTTTTAAATGTTACCCAAACTAACTGCAACCTGCTAACTTGGAATTCTAGAATTTAGCAGAGGTCCTCAAACTTTTAAAACAGGGGGCCAGTTCACTGTCCCACAGGCCGTTGGAGGGGCAGACTATAGTTTAAAAAAAAAAACTATGAACAAATTCCTTTTTTTTTTTTAAACTATAGCCCGCCCCTCCAACGGTCTGAGGGACAGTGAACTGGCCCCCTGTTTTAAAAGTTTGAGGACCCCTGAAAAAGGAATCCAGGTGGTCCTCTGTGAGCTCTCACTCCATGTGGAGACCCTTGTGAACCCGACATGGCAACTTTTATGATACATACCCTCTTGTTCTCCTGTAAGTAGAACCCACAGGACAAGGCACAGGAGGGGAGTATGACTTCCCAGAAAATTCCGGATCTGGAACACAAACCTCTAACGACAAATCTTCACTCATCTTGAAACCGAAGTCACTAAAAAAGGCAATTGGGGTTTGTCAAGGCCATTGTTTTACACGTCAAACATTTTGGTATCAGCCCTTCTGACTTTCACCATACTGCCTTTCGATTTTATGATATGCCTTCAAAATGCCCCTTTAAAGAATACTCACTTTATTTTTTTACTATGAAATACATCTTCTAGCTGGGCTCGGTGGCTCAGCCTGTAATCCCACGCTTTGGGAGGCTGAGGTGAGTGGACTGCCTGAGCCCGCGGGTTCGAGACCCGCCTGGGCAACTTGGCGAGACCTCATCTCTCCAATAAATCAAAAATCAGCCGGGCGTGGTAGCGCACGCCTGTAGTTCCAGCTACTTGGAAGGTTGAGGTGGAAGGATCGCCGGAACCCAGCGGGTCGAGGCTGCAGTGGCCGGGAGCGGCCACTGCACTCCAGTCTGGGCGACAGAGTGAGACTTCAACTCAAAAAAAAATAAAAAATTAAATAAATCAAAAATAAAATAAAATATATCTTCTAAAGAAGCTTTTTATCAGAACTACAACGGGAAAACCACGATCATATGTCATAAATAGACAAAAACAATACAAATCATCATGCCAAATCACAAAAATAAATTAATTTTTTGCTAGTTACAGTTCCCTACCCAAAGACTCGGGGCCTGACTTCTCTTGTTAAAAGGAATTAGCAAATGTTATAAAATTACTAGCACCCAGTGAGACTTTCTCTTTGACAGAATCAGAAGAATTAAAAGAGAAACTTAAAAAGAATAACCTTTTTAAAAAATTATTTTGACTAAAGGTTCAATGTTATTTAAGACCATAGCCACATACTACCTAAATCATCTTGGGTCCTCACCCTGAACTTTGAGATACAGTCGATTGGCTCATGAAACCTCCTGTAGTCTGGGGGTCACACCGGCCAAACCTCCCAGCTCAACGGGCAGAACCCTACAGCAGGTGACAGGGGACCTCAACTAAATCTTGGCTCTGCCTTCAACTGCATGTCTTCTCTAGGCCACACCCAACAACTCTAAAACGAGGCAGCTGCGCCATATACTTTCCAAGGCCCTGTCCAAGTTGTAAATTCTGTCATTCAAAGAGACTTTTCCATGTTCATGTGCGCTCCACCAGAAAACCTTCATTTACTCTACTCAATTCAACAAACATTTATTAGACTTTCCTACATAAAAAGTATTAACATATTCAGGGCAAAATGGTTTGTGTGCATTATACCATAATCCAAATTTAGCAATTTGTAGAGAATTGTTCAAAAGGTAGCAGTTTCATTGCTGTATCAAACAGGTCTCATTCATTAAATCAGTTCATTTTTATTGAATGGCTACTTCATATCTTTTTAGGGACTAGGTGAAGTATTAGCTAATTACTTATTTGCCACCAATAAGCAAAGCACTCTTCTTGGGCAGCTTTCTTTGACTCTAGTTATGACCTAGTCAAATGTGAAAGAACTTGGGAGGTCCAAGACCAGCTTCCTCCCCTCCTCAAAAAGAAAAAAAGATTGCAAAATGCATCACTCACAAAACTTTTAATTATACCTGTGTACGTATCGACATACACATATATGAGTATGTACAGGGTCATAATAGAAAAGATATTGCTTAACAGAGGTTGTAGTCAAGAAGTTGAAAGTCACATGACTTGGCAGTATCTGGAAGTATAAAGATGTTTAAAAAGAACTACCCCTGAAATCAGGGAACATATGGGCCAACAGTTGGCTTTTCCCAAAATGGAAAGGACTATTAGAAATAACCTGATTCTCAAAAACAGTTGTCAGTCAGTACCTGAACAAATGGACAGATATCGCAAGCTCACTCATTGTCACCTTATCTCCTGTTGCCCATCTTAGGACTACCTCCCTTCTCACTGCATAGTCCAATCCCATCAATGTCCCAAGAGCCACACAGTCAGGTTGTATCCCTTCTAGCCTCTGTAGCAAACAAAGGAACAATAGGGGAGGGCCTAAATTCAACACACCCTTTACCATGTTCACAGGGTAATCACCCCATAATTGCATTTGGCCTGCAATCCAACTCCTCAAGGGGTCAAGCAGGCAGTTTTACTGGTCTCTAATGAAAAGACAGCACACAGCAGGGACAAGCATCCAGCAGGTTCCAGCAAGCCAGATGGGGTAGGCATGGTAGACCAGCAGGATCCAGGCTAGTTTACCCAGGAAGACACACCAAGCTCCATTTGTTTTTGGTTTTTGTTTAAACACTTAACGTTTTCTATGTTGTTTTTTGGGGAAAGGAGGGGTGGAAGGTGAGGGGTGAATAGGGAAGATTTTAGTGCTTGTTACTTTTCTTAAAAAGTCTAACAGTGATCATAAAGAAAAAGTCCCAAAGATTTGTAGAATTTTCCTACATATTTTTTATTTAGTCCTAATTTTATTTTGAAGTGCTTACTGGGGATAGAATGAGGGGCAAGAGAGGAGGCTATAATCTTTTCAAGGATCGGGGCCTCTCCAGTCTCAGTCCAGTCCAGGGAGGAGGATCTGAGGCCAACAGAATTCTCAGATTAGACAACAGTGCAGGTGTCTAAGGGAGAGCAGAAGGCAAAAAGCATTGAACTGACATCACTGGGCACATCACACAGCTCTGTACTTTTGCATAAAGCATTTGTGGTGTTACCTTGGAAGCACACATCTTCCAAAATGAATGACTGTCTTGTATGGTCTAAGCTTAGATGCCCAAAAGGTGGGTGTGCAGATAAGCAGCATCCCTATCACCTAGGATCTCGGTAGAACTACAGACCACCCCACCACAGAACTCCTGAGGCAGAATTTGCATTTGAACAAGACCCCAGGTGATTCATATGCCCATTAAGGTTTCAGAAGCACTGGTCTGGAATCGAACTGGCCAAATCTGGTTGGCTGTTTTTGTAAATAACGTTCTACTGGACCACAGCTACACCCATTCCTCTACAGCTTGCTTTCTTTTGACTATGGGTGCTACCACGTGCATAGCTGAGTAGCTGCAACAGAGACCATGGAAACCATAAGGCCTACAAAGCCCAAAACATTTACTGTATGGCCCTTTTACAACCTCTCGTCTAGAACACATCAGAGGTTTCTGGCTTTCATCAAAACAAGTGTGGCTTCCCAAAGCAAAATCTAGTTCTTCTGTGCCTCAGCAACCACTGAAATACAAGTGGGTTTATGTTCAATACTCATGCACTCTTGATGCCCCTGGCTAAGCGACAACCATTTCATGCTGAATTACAGACTCCAGGGACTGTCCAGGAGCTCTGAAATCTTGTGCACTACTGTTAGTGTCATCTTCCTGTAGCCAAGCTCTGTTCTGATCAACTGTCCTCAAAAGCCTCCAAAGAACTCCTCCTATTTGTAGAATGAGGTCCATCCCCTCCAAAGTCTCTACCCCTACTGTATTCTATCTTTCCAGCCTCATTTCCAATCACTGTCCCTACATCATATACCCAACAAGGCATTCAAACTGAACTACCAACCAAGCCCTGCTGCCTCCATGCCAGTCCACTGCTGCTACATGGTCAAAGCACTACTGTCCATAGACCCAGATGCTCCCTTACAGTCTGTCTCAAGCAGTGTTTCTTACAGAAATATCTGACTCCCCAACAGCAAATCACAGCCCTCCCCTTCCTTTCAATAATCACAAAGCATCTGTTCCTCCTCCAAAGCACCTACCACTTTCCACCTCCTTTCCCAATTGTCCATGCATAGCTCACTTCCCCTACGCTTAGCATTCTCAGCAGTGCCTTGGACATTTTGCTCAAAAAAATAATGAACAATGCAAAAATATATATACTAGCATCCCCTCATTTCATATAAAGACACAGATCCCCTATAGAACAAGGGTCCTCAGGAAAAGGAGTTACCGACAATGGAACCTTCGGCATGCCCCTTTTTTGGGTTACCCTCATAAAAATAAATCCCAGAGCTATCTAATCCTGCATAACTGATGCAGCTTCCCTACCACATTATGTGGTTGTGAGAAATGAAGAAAACAACTTATGTGAAACATGCATGGCACATTTCCTGGCACAGAAAAGATGTCTCATAAATACATGTTTCCTTCTATTCCCTTCCCTTCCTCAGAGGAAGGGATCATGGCCTGGTCTGCTTTCCCCACACTGCTGAGTAAATAAAATATAGCTCAATTCCCCAGCCATCGAAGAAGCACTAACCATTCATAGTCTTCCCGAGTGCAGGAGCAGTTGGACACAACCACCGGCCTGTCAAAGTCCTCTCCATTAAAGCATGTGGCATGGGGGGTCCTCCGTTTGAAAACAGTCTTGTGTCCCAGCAGACACTCATTTCCCCGCTCATCAGACGGTGACCACAGCTTGTAGTCATTCTCTGTGCAGGGAACCCCTTAGGAAAAAGAAGCAGCAGAGGCATGAGAGGCAGGCCCATGTGGGGTTTCCTGTTATACCTGCCCCCTCAACCTAGTTCCCCGCTTCCTGTCCATCCTGTTACCACCATGGCAGGACAGACCTCAGGAGCTGTTCCAAGTCGCCAATCAGCTTGCTTTGAAGCTGGGCGGCACCTATGCAAATGAAAATGACACTACCCAAAACTTAGACAACTGTCTGAGAAAGGTGGGAAGAAGTAAGTCACTTTTTGGCACAATCCAAACTTCTAAAATAGTTTAGGAGAGTCAGCAGTTTCCTTTAGAAACAGGTACTCAAAATTGTTTCTCTCCTAGGGAATTAGGGAAAGGTTGAATCTTTGATGGAGTATCATTTGAGGGTATTGGCCCCTGCCTGCTTCCTTGGCAGACTACATCTAGAACAATAGCCTCAGAACAATGGAGAGTTTGCTTGCCCTATCAAGAGGTAGAGGATTTTCATACAAAGAGGCTGGAACATGGCAAGACGACTTGCATGGACACTCCATCTGCCCACATTCATTCTACTATAAGTAGAGTGCTATCTACAGGCATTCCAAAGTATGCCTTTGTCTATATTTTCATTTTATGTCTTTTACAATGTGTGTTCAGTGAGATTAAATATTACCTGAAGCTGATACACGGCTGTCAATTCAACACCGTGAAAATCAGCAAACTTATTAAACCCCTACTGACCATAGGCTATCAGGCTGTCCAACAGGTGGAATACAAATATACACAGGACAGGCTATTGTTTGTAAGGGCATTATAATCTAGTAGTTGGGAGATGATGAACACAGAGTAACAGACTTATAATATATGTAATTTATAATTCAAGGTGTGATGAGTACACCTGTGCTCTGGGCATAGAGAAGAAGGGAGATGTCTCTTGGTTGGAATATTAGCAACAAATGTGTTACATGTGAAATAAGAAAAGGATTTCAAATAGTGAAGACTGAATGAATGGGGGTGAGAAGGAATAAGGGACATTGAGGCAGCTGGAATAATGTTAGTCAAGGCTGAAAAGTAGGAAAGGGCAGGGTAATGTGGGGAGGCAAAAAAGGATGCTGAAGAGTTTCACTTCTCCCAGCATACTCACACATCCTGTGTCTAGACTAGCACATAATAACTAGATCTAAGATGGTTCTGAGAGGACTATGCATCACACAGCACACTGACTTACAGATAGTAAGGCATCCCCATTGATATGTCCTTTTGGAAATGCTGAGTTGGAAAAATGTTTTTCATGCATTCATTCATCCACATATTCAACAGGCATATATTTAAGCCTGCTACAAGCCAAGAACTGTACAAGGAAACTAAGATATAAACAATAACACAAATGTACAACCCTACTAAGAACTGAGCAATCCCTCAATTACCTTCCTGTGTTATTTGCTAACTTGTATGTGTCCATCTCCCTCAATGAATCCAAGGTCTTCTAAGTATATAGTATCTAAGTTGGTGCTTTGCACACAACAAGAGGTCAACAAATACTTATGTGAAAAGGGCCAAGGAGGCAATAGCTTACCCAAGGCATCTGTGGCATTGACCTGGAGGATCAGCCAGCTGTGGACATTCTCTTTGTTCGAACCAAAGATAGTGAAGACAGTGCTCTTCTCCCCAGGCTCCGTGAGGAGGCCATAAACAAACACTGGCTTCTCAGAGAAGATGAATGTTTTCCAGGTTTCCCCTTCATTGGTACTGTATCTGTACAAATACAAGTAAGAGAATCCTTGCAGTTAAAAGTATCCAAGGCAAGGGCTTGTTACATTCAACAGTAATAGGAACCAGGGCTCCTTGGAGAAATGAGCTGAAGCAGGAAAAGTTTAAGGTTGTATCACAAAGCAAGGAAGTACTCAGAGACTAACGCAGTCATCTCAAAAGGACACAGAAAGCAGATTCATGGGGCTCTAGCTGGCAATATTTAGGAAAATTTAAACATAAAAAAAGAAAAATGATGGTAACAGTCTATACACTGAATGAAAATAGGGCATGGGTTTCTAATGATACTAAAAGAAAGAGAAGCAGAGGGGGGATCTTTTTTCCTTTCCACCCAATTAGGAATGAAAACAACAGACTGAAAAAAGTACTACTCTGTAACCCTCAGTGCAATAACAAATCAGACAAGGATCATCAGTGAATGTTAAAACCACTGGGTAAAAGTGCTGAGGGTCAGGATATTCATATGGTCTAAAGATCAACCGACAGACAAGCCCTTTACTACAAAAGGGAAAATATAATTTTATAGTGGATGATTTGAGTCACAACCTTAACCAAACTTAGCATCACCAACAGTCAGACAGCTCGTATGTGCCTCCTGAAAAAAAAAATCACTGAGAATAACACATCACCTATGTACTATTTATACAACTGGACAAATCCAAAATATGGGACATCCCACATGACAACTGCTCGGGATTCTTCCAAAAATCCTAGGCCATGAAAACCAAAAAAGCAAACAAAAAAGGCAGATGGCTTTTTGCAGATTAAAAGAAACTAAAGATATATAACAGCAAAATGCAATGAGTAAACAAATTTGCAATGTGTCAATCCAATCCAGGATTCAGTTCAGGACTGACTAAATCCTGAAAGGGGGCAGAGGGGTGGGGCACAAAGACGAAGCAGCCATAAAAATATGGGACAACTGAGAAAATACAGTCAATAAGTAACACTGAGGTAATGGTAATTTTCTTAGGTGTGATAATGGCAGTGTGAGTATGTAAGAAAATGCCCATATTTATTGAAGATTCATATTTAAGTATTTACTGTAAAGGAGCACGATGTCTGACACTTGTTTTCAAATGAGTCCGCTTAAAAAGGACGAATAGACAGACAGACACACAGGATGGATGGATGGATGGATGGATAGATGGATGGATGGATGGATGGATGGATACAGATAGAAGTAAGTTGGCAAATATTAACAACTGGTTCATGAGAGTTCTTTCTATAATTCTTCCAACTTTTCTGTGGTCTTAAAAAGTAAAAAGTTGGAGGAAAAGTACATCCTGAGAAGTCTCCAAGACAAACTATTTCAGAACAAGGAAGTAAGCCCTTGAAAAAAATAAGCAGCACTTAAGTAACTGTACTAATTTTAAATTATCTTTTGTAGTGAAAAAGGAGAAGGTGAGAAGGTAAGAAGAGAAGGGAAAGAAAAATATCTGTCCGATACTTGCTTCACAACCCAGTGAGCTGGCAAGATGCTCAACATGAGAAACCACCCAATTAGAGTTTTCTTTAGAATCACAGGGTTATTAGGTCTCTCTTAAATGCAAATTATATACAAAACTTTCTTCTCCATCTTTCCCATGTTTCTGAGATTTTAGTTTTATTCTCTTGGGATTCTAACACTTGACTTAAATCTTTTCACACCATCACTCAATCCAAACACTTCCTCTCATACTGAGATTATTAAAATGGATACTCCTACAAGAAAGCTAGAAGCTAAGCCAAGTGGTAGGGTTACAAGGCAACATAATAAATGTTGATAAGAGACTAAGAGATCTCTACAGAGCTTTTAGAAAAGGAGAAATTCTCACCTGGCTGATACACTTTTCGTTTAAGACAACTTCAAAGCAGATATTTGGATAAGTTAACTCATTCTCCTCCTTGCACCAGTGTGATGAGCTAAAGGCTTAGTGCCACTTTTAAAGCAAACTGAACCAGGAGAGTTGTCCTATTATCCAAACATGACGATAGCTATATGCCTTCTCTGTGATAATGCTGGAAGTCCATCTATTTGTACATTGCCAAGGTAATTCTACTTAAGAGCTCCTCAAACCCAAAATAACCTCAGGAAATGAATCATCTCATTTCTTGAGAGGTTCCCAGAGGACTCTGACAATAACTCATTAATGAGACTAACAAGCAGGTGCACAGCCAAGCACAGCCTTTTATCTGAGAAAAAAACTGCTCATTTAGAAAATGGTGCTTTTCAGAATTTTGTGGAAAAGGCAGTTGCATTATCAACTTCAGCAGATAAGGGGATATCTATTTTGGACTGAATTATGATCCCTAGAGGAGAACTTGTGTTGATAAAGTGAAACTTGTGAGAAAACAAACCAGGTCATCTTTGTATTCCTAAGTAATGAAAGAGTATATAACAGAAAGAAGATGCCCGAATAACTGGAATTTATTTATAAAAATTATTTATTCTTACATGTTGAAACCTCAGTCACCTTCAAAGTACTCTCTTGTTCGATGCAACACACCTAATCGAGGTGCTTTTCTCACCACTCAAAACAATTTTTGAACTCGTTAATTTTGATGCCTTTTAGTGCTTCTGCATTTTTTTGTTTCACCTTCCACATCAGCAAAATGTCTCCCTTTGAGGGCTTTTTGCATCGGGGAAACAAAAAAAAGTTGCTCAGATCGAGGGTAAATAGGAGGGTGGGGCACAGGGATCATGTCATTTTCTGGCCAAAAACTGCTGAACATTTAGTGTGGTGTGGGCAGGTGCACTTGTAAATCATCCATTGTGAAATGGACAGACACACTGAAAGAATCTAAAAAAAAAAAAAAAAAAAAAAAAAAAAATCACTGAAGCTGAACTCAGCCTCTCACAACAATGCTAACTGGTACACTGATGCCAATGGGTTCCTAGAACACTGACCTAGCAGGAGAAGCCTGTCCTACAAGGGGTCTGCCCTCCAAAAAATAATTCCAGTTTCTGGGAAGTCCTCTCTCTTAGAGTCCTATTCTTTAGAAATGGAGAATCCAAACTGTTCAGATACAAATATAGACAAGAGGATGGGAAGGCACACCTCATCAACAAGGGTGCCTGCATAATGAACATTTGTATACCTAACCGTGAATTGTACCCCCACCACCTCCAAAATTAAAAATTAAAAAAAAAGAGGATGGGACGGTCAGAAAATATAATAGTAGCACATAATATAATATAATCACAGATATGTTAAGAGGAAAAAGTGAGGTAGATACCCACCTTATGACTCTACACAGACAGGTTCTTAGTGAGCTAGGATTTTTAACAAACAAGTTCAAGACAGGAAAAAAGTTATATAACCAAGGGCAAAAAAATTAAAGAGCAGCAGTAATTGCTGGTTAATTCTAGCTGTAGTTCTTATAGCTAGTAATCTATTAGAATAATAGACCAATAACTCAAGTTCAACATGATTATGTTTCAAATTACCAAAATAATTGGTAGACTGGTGGGTTGATGGGTTGGTTATTAGTAAGTTCTGTAAACAATTAGAAAAAAAAAGAAGGATCACTGTTCTGATGGCCAATGGTATAAATAATAGCAGATACAATTATATGTACTAATAAAGAGTTTTATTTATATATATTCATTCATTCATTCATGAAAGTCATCCTCTAGTTCTGCCTATCTTTATTTGACCTTTGAACTGTACAATATATCATGATCCCTAGCTGAATGAAAAAAATGAGAATAAAAGAAAGACTTCATTAGTAGAAATTTTTAACAGAACAAACAACAGTAAAACAACAGAAAAAAAAAGAAGTTCTATTTTGCTTTTGTCTTTATCAAGAAGAATAATATTCAAAATGGACAATACAAAAAAAAAAAGACAGGGGAGTAGAAGCTAAGAGAAAAGGAGTACAAAATAAATTCTAGGGAAATGAAAGATAAAGCTAGAATGATTACAGAGGCCCTTTTAATAATCTCTAGAAGAATCATGGAGAACAAAGATTTCAAAGACTAAAGTAGGAAAAATAGTTTTATTTCCCTAACAAAGAATGGATTATGAAACAGGTTATTAAGAGAACACTTAGAAGAAAAGGGCTGGGAATTCAAATGGTTTCATATGCAAGCCACAACAAACTAATCCCATTTTCTTTTCTTGTGGTAATTCTTGATTTGAAGAACAAGATTATGATAAAGAACTTTTTTTTTCCCATGAAGATCTTTGTGGACCAGATAGTCAGATGAAATTCACTGCTAGTAAAGCAAACAAAGCCCAATTATGGATATATGATTTAATCTCAACCCTCAAAAGACATCTGGTCCTCACAGAGCTCAACAAATTTATGAATGAGCTGGACTGAAATCTGAAAGACGGATCTACCAAATCTGTAAAGGGTGCAAGACTAATTGTACAGATAAAACAATAAATGCCAAAAATGGAATTTAAATAAAATGAATAAGTAAAAATGAGAATAAGAATAAAATTCCACTTCAGAAACCTACCTGCTCAAATACAGGATGAGGAACATCTGGTCTTTAATAAGATACAGAAGAACAAAGGATTTCTGGGGGGGGTTGAATTAAATTGAACTCAGCCTACTGATACAGGTTACAAGATAGATAAATCTTGAAATTATTATGCTGAATAAAATAAGCCAAAGTCAAAAAAAACAAAGACAGAACTAACCTACAGCGCTAAAAAGACCAGAAGTTGCCTCTCCCTGGGGCAGGAGGATGGAGGTGGGTAGCACTGAAGGGGGAAGGGGCGCATGGTTATGTTCTGGGGTAATAACACTCTACATCTTAACATGTATCCTTCAGAACTGATTAAGTGGCGTATTTAAGATCTGAGTACCTCATGATATGTAAATGATACCTCAGTTTAGGAAAACAAATGTAATAGGAGCCACCAGTTGAGGTAGCTGTCAAAAATGTAAACACAGCCTAAAGATTTTATTAATAGAAATAGAGTGTCCAGAATCATGTAGGTATTAATCCCAATGTCTTCTGCATGTTTCAGACCATGGGGGGTCAGATCCAGGCCCCCCATTTTAAGACACTGGCATGGTGAGGCAGACCTAAGGGCAAACCTAGAAGGTGGATATTCAGGATCCTGTGGCATATGAGGAAAGGAACTGGGGATGTTCACCATGGAATGGCAGATGTTCAAGAGGACATGGGTGAGGTCCTTAGATATCTGAAAGACTTTCAGGTAAAAGAAGATGCCTGCTGTGTGTCTCCAGAGAGCAGAAATAAGCCCACTGAACAGAAAAGTAGGAGGAAGGAGAACCTGGGCTCTCTCTTACCAGGGAAGGGCTCTCTCTTACCAGAGAACTTCCATTCATAAATGAATGAACGAACAAATGAACAACAAACTGTCCCAAAGTGAAAAAGAAGCACCTTTCGATTTGGCAAACTCTCCATCACTAGAATTGTTCGAAAAAAGACTGAATGATCGCTCAGCACAAATGACAGAGGGAAAATTCTTGCAAAGAGTGGTGGAAGGCTGAACCAGATAATGTAAAATGTCCTGATTCCTACTTGGACATGCCTAAGCTGCTTCAACTCCCCTTGTCCAAGTGCTCATTATATGGCCCTGCAAGCCTCCTCCTTTACCTCTGCTTTTCTATGAGTAATAATCACTTCCCCTGTCATCCTAGGCAAGTCAGAAACCATGTCCTGCAGACTTAGTTCTTCAGCCCACCCTGGTATCATCTCCCACCCTCAGTCTCACTCCATGAAATCACCCTTGTCATTCTGCCAAAGCCATCTTTCCATAATGCAAGTCTAGCCATGTCATTCCCCTACTGAAAACCCTCAAAGGGACCCTGTCACCTCAAAAATAAAATTTAATCTCTTAAGTAAGGCACAGATAAGGAACCTCAGGACCTGGCCTCTGCCTAAACCTGCCTCAAGTCTCTTTTGTCACTGCTCCCTACGTCACAATTTGCACTCGATCAATACTCAAAAGTCACACATTCCACCCTGATTCATGCTTTGTCTTTGTTCAAGGTCTCTCTAACCCTGGAAAGGTACTCTGACCTTGTTTTACCTTTTCAGTCTCAGCCCAGGTTTCGTCTCCTCCCAGAAGCCTTCCCCTAACCCCCAAACAGCAGTGCCTGGTCCTCATTCTGGCTCCCACTGCATTCTGAGTTCGGCTCAATTTTATACTCTACTAAATTTAAATTACTTATTTTGCTAGTGTCTCCATTCATCAGCAGCAAGACATCTTATTTTTTTGTTCCTGGTATCTGATACCTCTTCTAGCACACAAAGGGGACATTAGTAAATACTTAGTGAAGAAAGTTAAGGAAACTGCACTACGTTTTCTTTTAAAAAAAAATTAGGCTGGGCGCAGTGGCTCAAGCCACTCTCAGCACTTTGGGAGGCCAAGGTGAAAGGATTGCCTGAGCCCACGGGTTCGAGAACAGCCTGGACAACTTGGCGAGACCTCATCTCTACAATAAATCAAAAAATTAGCCAGGTGTGGTAGCACGCGCCTGTAGTTCCAGCTGTTTGGAAGGATGAGGCTTGCTAGGTGATACAGTCAAGTGCAGAAGCTAACAGCTGCCTCCCTATTTGCTGGAACTGTGCGGCTACTTCCAGAACTCAGGTCCAGAAAAAACAGCTGCTCTACTGCATGTAGTCTTTGCAGGGGCTCTTCGGGATTCCCAGAGGGAAACCCTATGAAATTGGAAATCTTAGAGAAAAGATGCTTTGGGTCAAGTCCAAAACATTATTAGTAACTACCAATAATATCACGCTGACAGGCACACCGCTGAGAAGAAACGGAAATTGATCTCAGCCTTTGTGATCAAGCAACAAACTCATGCTCAGATCTTTGTTGGTCAGGGTGCAAAACCCCACAGTCTCTTCTCTGAAGAACACTGATTATACACAAGAAAAAAATACCGCTCCTAGCATCCCCAGAGTAGGTTCACAGTAACAGCATGCTGCATGAATGAACAAGTGAATTCCCAGCGCAAGTTCTTATTTACTCATTTCAGACATGTAGACACAACAGCAAAACAAAGCGTTCCACTTCTTGCTCTCAATTTCAATTAACAATAACAAAGGTAACAGTCTCCTTGGAGAATCAAGGCAGAGGCTGAAACAAATAACAGTCAACTCTTCGTTATCTGTGCTAATCAGGGAGAGAAAGACATGAATAATTTAAAAGAACATCAACCAAAAGACACGAACAAAGACCTCTAATGCTTACTTTAAGCAACGCTTCAACTTCTCATATAGGAATTATTGGTGCTACTTTATTTGGCTTTCCTCCCTAAAGATGGGTAAGTATCAGGTCAGAAAACTCCCTTTCAAAACAAGTCCCTCCTCCTGGCCTCTTTCTCCAACTGGCTCAGAAATACCACAGTGCCACAGTGGGCCTGGGCAGCTCCCAAAAAGTGACTCAGCCGCCTTTGCATCCTTGGTATCCAGCACAGCATCTGGTTCATTGTGGATGTTCAACAAATGTCTGTGTAATTGACCTGAAATGATTCCTAACAGAAATTTGCTCCAGTTCCAGCATGAGCACTACCTCCTGACGAATCACTTATTCCCTAGTGTGAAAAATGAGGAAGATGGAGCGGGTCATCTCTGGCGCCTCTTGGGCACACATCCGAGAAGCCTCCACTCACATCACTGCTCCAGGGGTTGTCATTTACACTGAGCACAATAGCAGTGATCCCCCTAGGAACTGTGCAACTGGCATACTCCCTAGGTCCCTCCCAGTTTTATAAGTCAGTAAACCAATAAGCAATCTCAGAGGACTAAGTATGCATGACCTATTTCAATCAAATATTTGCTAAGTGTCTCCTAACCAGTATCGAGCAGAAATACTTATCTACAAAAATGTTACTAACGAGTTGAAGAATTCAGGCATATAATGGAAAGGCAACTAACAAAAGGAGTCGGAATATGATCAGTGCTAAATTAATGGGGCAGTCAATGCATGCTATGAGACATAAGAGAAAAAGAGAGCGAGAGAGAGAGCACTGTGGTTGGGGGGGGCAGACTTAGAAAGGGTCTGAAGCCTAAGACTCACAACAGACATAGCATTATACCAGTGCATCCTCCACTCATGCATGGGCAGCACGATAAATCACCACTGTGGTTTGAGGAGATATATGAACTTCAATATTATTTCTTGCTTTTTAGAATGGCAGGAAGAGAAGCAGAACATCTCTCTGAAAGCACACTGAGCAAATGCCAGGTGGCTACACAGATTTAGGCCAAGCTCAGGTTGATATCTGGGACACATGCACCTGCCAATAGGAGACCTGGATGTATTTTCATATTTACAAATGCTTTATTTGAACCATGTACACAGACACCTCCAAATGACCTATACAAATAGAAGAATGCTACAGTGTCCATAATCCCCTGAAGACTACAACACCAGTCATTTTGAAATGTCTGGGGAGGGCATTATGATTTTTCTGGCAGCAGTTTTATTTTCCTAATCATGTTTTGCTCCAGCTAGTGTAGAATGACGCTGTGTCCCCTGAGCACATATGCACCGACAGATGGTGTAAGAGGACTAGAATCACACTAACTCCTTCAGAGGAGCCAGTTTGGAATGCAAATTTAATTTGTAGAGAAGCTAAACAAGGAAAATTGAGAACTGACTCTAAAATCCGAATGCCATACAAAGAATGAAATGTATTCCTAGGAAGCCAAACTATGTCCCCTAAGTGTGTCTTCCACACATAGCAGTGTACCAAACACTACAATTGTTTTCTCGCCTATCGGGGGGCGGGGGGAGGGACAGCATCTTATTCGTCTGCAGATACACAGTACCTGGCACGATCAGTGCTTGCAAAACGTATAAGATGAGAATTAAATTAGTGGATATATAAAAGAGAGCACAAATGCGGGAAGCACTGCGCTTTGTGATGGTCATGTCTGAGCAAACACAGATACAAATATGGATACGGAGCATTACGTACAAACAGGGCCTGTTCTAACTCTTGCCTCTAAAGAAACTGCTGACCAGTACTACACAGAACAGAGAACAGCTAGGTAGAATGCCAAACGCCAGGACTTTGCTTCTCTCTCCTTGTTTAAGGCCAGGTTGCTCAGCACATGTCAACTTAACCACAGAGGGAAAAAAACAGCTGCTAAGATCTCTTTTTCCAAACCATGCACTTCTCTCTTGTCACTGGCCCTTTCTCTTTGCATTAACAAAATGGTTACAGAAGCCCTCTCCACCTCCTTCAGTAATCCATCTAATGGGTTCAGCTCAAAAAGAGGAATTAGTAAGGGCCAGTCTGCCCTGCCCTAACATTAACTGTTCAATAACTCAGACAAAATAATCAAAGGACTGGTTCTGACAAAATCAGGACTTCAGAGGGGAGAGATTACAAACTCCTGACATATTTGTTTTTCAGAACAATACGTTGCAAAGAAGATGGGACACAATCTAAAGACCCAAGTGCTAATGCTGCCCCCATCACTAATAAATGGGAAGACCATGGACAAGCTACTCCACCTTGCTGAGCCTGTTTTCTCATCTGTAAAATAGTAGTGAGTCCCAAATGAAATTCCAGCTCTATCTATGAAAATCCCCAAATCTAACATAGACAGCAAGTCAATAGCTATCAAATTATATGCGTTCTGTAATTATCATTATTCATGTATTATTTATTGTTATTCTTTATTGTCAGTCATGCTATGAGTAAATCTGTCACATACAAAGCAAAGAAAGATGAATTAAAGAAGCTTTATTTTTTAGTCATTATTAACTCTTTATATAGTGTTGTACTTCTGCAACCAATAAAATGATTTCCCTGTTCCTCACAATACCCCTTAGAGATAGAAAGGACAGATTATTAGACCCATTTTATAGATAAGGAAAGTATAATTCCAGAGGTCACAAATTGTGCTATACAGAGATAATCCACTTATAAACACAAACGTGAATTTCTGGGAGAACAGTTCAGAAACACTTACTTCAACTCGTTGGTTTCCATGCCCTGGGCAATGGCCATGATGATGCCGCCATGGTCTCCCCATGTGTAGTAGTGAGGTCCAGGAAGTGCCTAAGGAGGAAAGGTCAGAGGTGACGACATTGCTGTGGAGGTTAACTGCAGAAACCATGCACACACACTCACACACAGGCATACACGTGTACATGACAGGCACACATGTATACACATACATAACAGCGATGCCAACCCCTTGAATGGCTTTCGGTTTACAAAACACATTCATATGCATCATCTCATCTGTTCCATACAATCCTAAGGATAGGCAGAGCAAGTTCAAGTATCCCATTTTTTTCCCACATGGAGAAACAAGGAATTAATGTTAAAATGGCACACTGAGCAGCACAGGTAGGACTCAAACTCATCTCATCAACCAATAATTAAAAATTAAGTTATTGGGTTTCCAGTTCGACTATGACAGTATTAGCCCTCTACAGTCCATGCTTCTTGCTAATTACAACTAAAACTTCAGGGCAGAACACACTAAAAAAAGACCAGAGGGTGCTGTAAAGTAAACAAAAGCAGGCAGTTTGTGGAGGAGATTTAAAACGTGGAGAAGCTACCCACATGGTTGTGGGATTCCTGGTACAATTTTGCCCTGAGGGAAAGCCTCAGTCATGGAGCACACTTCAGTCCCAGCCAGAGAGCTGAAAATTCAATAGAAACTGTTTCTGCCAAAAATGTCAAAAAAAAAAAAAAAAAGGCTAGAAAAAGTGTGGATAGAATCTTACAGCGGGGAATGTCAAAACAGTAAATCCCCTATTTCTGTGTCTGAACTTATGTTAAGTCTTGGCCTAACCCCGAAACAATACAAGTGGGAAACAAACCCAAACCAGCAGAGCAAAGGCTTAGCAAACTGAGCTGAGAGTTGAACTACCACCCACAGAAAGCAATACAGAACTTACGGTTGGAACCTAAAAAGGCTGATTACATGCTAAAACAAAAGCATCTATATCCTTCTAAAGATTTAATTTCACACATTTCATTCACATGTCTAGAACACAAGTCAAAATTATTCAATTTATACCATAAAAACATATGTGTAAAATGGGCCTGTCTTAAGGGAAAAGATAATCAGCAAGTGCCAATCCTAAAATGATCCATATATTGGAATTTTAAAATAGCTATTACAATAGTGTTCCATGAGGGAAAAAAACACATGTGAAATGAATAAAATATAAGAATTGTCTCCAAAGAAGTGGAAACAATTTTAAAAATAGAAATTTTATAACAGAAAAATACAATATCTGAAATAAGTAATTCATCAATGGGCTGAACATCAGAACAAAAGTGACAGAGGAATTAATGAATTAGTAGAATTAGTGAAGATTAATATAGACCAGTAAAAACTATCCATTCTAAAGAACATACAGGGAAAAAAATTGTTTTTAAACATTGTCAAGGACCTGTAGAACAATAACAACAGATCTAATGTGTAATTGGAGTGTCAGAAGAACAGGAGAGACTGAGGCAGAAAAAAAACATTTGAAGAAATAATGGTTGAAAGTTTCCAAAATTTGGTGAAAGATATAAATCTACAAATTTAAAATCAGTATCCCCAAACAGAATAAGCTCAAAGAACTCCCCCCACCGATATATCATAACAAACTGCTAAAAAACCAAAGAGAAGTAAAAAATCTTGAAACCATCCAGAGGAAAAAAAATCGCATCACACACAGCAGGACGATAGCTAAAAGATGACAAGTTTCTCATCAGAACCTGGGGAAACATGAAGATAGTAGGACAAATTTAAAGTACTAGAAGAAAATTACTGTCAACCCAGAAATCTGTATCCAGGAAATACGTCTTCCAGGAATGAAGATAGAAGAGAGAATTTAAAATGAAGGAAAACCAATACAATTTGTGGCCAGTAGGCCTCTCTCCAAGAAATGCTAAAGGTATTTCTTTAGACTATAGGGAAGTTTCTTATGGGTAAACAGAGATCTTCAGGAAAAGAAAAGAAACATTTAAAATATAAAGACACAGATAGGTAAAAAGTAGATGGATGTTAAAAGACGTACTATTCAAACAGCATATGAAGGCTAGAGTAATTAATTCAATATCAGATAAAATAGACCTCGAGACAAAGAGTATTACTACAGACAAAGAAGGATATTTCATAATGATAAAAGGGACAATTCATCAGAAAAGATAATTACATATGCAAATATACTCAATAACAGATACTCAGAATACATACCAAAATAAAGCAAAAATTGACAGAATTTAAAGAAATAGACAATTCTACATTTACAGAAGATTTCACCATTCCTCTCTTAACAATTAGAGAACTAGACAAAAAAAATAGTATGAACTTAGAAAATCTGGACATTATCAACCATCTTCTTATAGATAACATCTATAAAAAACTACATCAAACAATTGCACAATACATATCCCTCTGCTGTGCACATGACATATTCACTAACATAGACCACATGCTGGATCACAAAACAAATCCCAATAAAGCTAAAAAAGACTCAAGTAATAAAAAGTATAGCCTCTAATTATAGTAAATTAAATTAGAAATCAGTAATAATAATATGATAGCTATGAAAGCCCCAAATACCTGCAAATTAAAAACATTTTTCCAAATAACTTATCAGTGAAAGATAAAAATCAAAAAAGATATTAGAGATGATGAAAATGTTCTGGAATTAGAGAGTGGTGATAGTTGCATAGTCTTGTGACTATCCTAAAAACTCCTGAACCATATACTTTAAAATGATGAATTTCATGGTATGTGACTTATATCTCAGTTTTAAAAGGGAACATTAAAAATATTCTGAACTTTAAGACAATAAAAATACAACATACATTTATAGCAGTATTTAGAGGAAAACTTACAGCTTTAATTAACACTTATATTAGAAAGAGGATCTAAAATCAATGACCTAAAGCTATACCTTAACAAACTACAAAAAGAACAAAATAAATAAGTAAAAAAATAATAATAAAGAGAAGAAATCGACAAAATACAGAATATTAACAGACCCAAAAACAGGTTCTTTGAAAAGATCAACAATCTTGACAAACCTAACCTTAAAAAAAAAAGAGAAAATACACAAATTCACAATATCAGAAATGACATCATCATCAAAGATTCTACAGACATTAAAAAGATAATGAGAAAATATAAAGAATAACATAAGGGCAATAAATGCAATGATTTAGATAAAGGGGCCAATTTCTTGAAATACACAACTCACCAAAATTTATACAAAATAAGAAATTCCAAATAGTTCTATATCAACCAGTAAAATTAAATTTCTTTTCAAAAAATGTTCCCAAGAAGAAAACTCAAGGACCAAATAGTTTCATTAGTGAATTACTCAAAAAATAATATCAAACTTACACAAATTTTGTCAGAAAATAGAAGGGGAACCATCACTCAGCTTGTTTTATGATACCAACCAAACCCTAATACCAAAACTTGACAAAAACATTTATTTTTTTTTAATTTTTTTATTTTTTTGAGTTGGAGTCTCACTCGGTCGCCCAGATTGGAAGGCAGTGGCCGCTCCCGGCCACCGCAGCCTCGACCTGCTGGGCTCCGGTGATCCCTCCACCTCAGCCTTTCAAGTAGCCAGAATTACAGGCATGTACTACCATGCCGGCTGATTTTTTGATTTATTGTAGAGATGAGGTCTCGCTGCCCAGGCGAGTCTCAAACCCGCGGGCTCAGGCAATCCACTCACCTCAGCCTCCCAAAGGCGCGGGATTACAGGCTGAGCCACCGAGCCCAGCTGACAAAAACATTTAAAAAAGAAAATTACAGACTGATATCACTCACAAAAATTGCAAAAATTCTTAACAAAATTTTAGCAAGACAACCTAGCCAGAAATAAAAAGGCAAATGTATCATGACCAAGTATAGTTTATTCCAGTAATTCAAGGTTGGTTTAATATTCAAGTACTGGTTAATGTAATATGTTATATTAACAGAAAAATAAAGAAAATCCACATGACTTTAATATATTGAAAAATAGCATTTGACAAAATTCATATTTGATCATAATAAAAAATTACTAACAACTAGGAATAACAGAGAACTACCCATATATTGATAAAGTACATGTATGAAAATCTATTGCCAACACTATATGTAACAGTGAATGGCTGAGCCATTTCCCCTTGAGAGAGGGAACAAGACAAGGATGCCCATTTTCACTACTTCAACATTGTATGGAGATACTGGTTATTGCGATAAGAAAAGTAAAAGAGGAGGGTAGAGAAGAAAGAAGAGAAAATGAAAGAAAGGAAGGATGAGAGAAAGACATAAAGATCGGAAAGAAAAATATAAAACTTTCCCTCTTTGCAAATGGTATTACTGCTTACATGGAATCTAAATAACTACTAAAACTAATGAATTACTTTAGCAAGGTCACAGAATACAAGATTCATATACAAAAGTCAATTGCATAATTATATACTAGAGCAAAAATTGGAAAATAAACTTAAAATTCCATTTACAGTAATATAAAAAAATTAAAAATACCTAGGAGTAAAGCTAATAAAAAATGTACAGGGCCTCCATATCAAAAACTACAAAATACTAAGAGAAATTAAAGAAGAAATGGAGAAAGACATTACATTCATGGGATCAAAAGAATCAGTAGTGTTAAGTACTCAAATTGACCTATAAATTCTGTGCAATCACAATCATAACCCCAGATTGTGTAGAAATTGGCAGGCTGATTCTAAAATGTATATGGAAATACAAATGGCCTACAACAATGAAAGCAATTTTTAAAATGAACAAAGTTGAAAAATTTAGCCTAATCTCAACACTTATTACAAGACTTCAGTAATTAAGACGATTTGGTTTTGGTGAAAAAATAGACAGATTAATGGAACAGAGTATAAGGTCCTGAAACAGACCCAATAGTTCTGAAATTGGTCCATATATGGCCAATTGATTTTTAAACAGGTACCAAGGCAATTCCATGGGGGAAGAAGTGTTTTCAATAAGTGGTGCTAGATCAACTGGATCTCCACCTGGAAAAAAATAAGTATCATAATGAATCCAAAATATATTTTTCTAAAACTGTTTTCAACTCTAAGACAGATAACTCAATTTTTTTTAAATAAGCAAAAGATCTGGACAGATACTTCACGAAAGAAGACTTTTTTTTTTTTTTCTTTTTTTGAGTTGGAGTCTCACTCTGTTGCCCAGACTGGAGTGCAGTGGCACGCTCCCGGCCACCGCAGCCTCAACCTGCTGGGCTCTGACTAGCTGGAACTACAGGCACGCGCTACCACACCCAGCTAATATTTTGATTTTATTGTAGGGATGAGGTCTCGCCAAGTTGCCCAGGCGGGTCCCAAACCCACGGGCTCAGGCAATTCACTCACCTCGGCCTCCCAAAGCGTGGGATTATAGGCTGAGCCACCAAGTCTGGCAAAAGAAGATTTTTAAATGTCCAATGAGCATATGAAAAGAAACTCAAAATCATTAAATACAGGGAAATGCCAGTTAGGACCAAAATGGAATAGCATCACACACTTATTAAAATGTCTAAAATTAAAAAGACTAATCATGCCAAGTGTTGGCAAAGATGTGGAACAATTAGAATTTTCACACACTGCTTGGTGAAAATTGAAAACAATTCAGCAGTTCTTACAAATTTAAACATATACCCACCATACTACCCAGCTAGTCCATTCCTAAGTATTTACTCAAGGGAAATGGGGAAAAAAAAAAAAAAAAGGCCAGGCACAGTGGCTCAAGTCTATAATCCCAGTACTTTGGGAGGCCGAGGTGAGGGGATTGCCTGAACCCACAGGTTTGAGAACAGCCTGGGCAACTTGGTGAAACCTCATCTCTACAAATAGATCAAAAAATTAGCTAGGCATGGTAGTGCACACCTGTAGTTCCAGCTACTTGGAAGGCTGAGGCAGAAGGATCACCTGAGCCCAGTGGGTTGATGCTGAGGTGGCCATGAGCATGCCACCGCACTCCACTCTGGGCAACAAAATGAGACTCCAACTCAAAAAAAAAAAAAGTGCATGAATGTTCGTAACAGCTGTATTTTTAAACAGCAAAAACTGGAATGTTCATCGACAGATGAATGAGTAAACAAATTGTGATACAGGCCTACAATGGGACACTAATCAGCAATAAAAAAGGAACAAACCACTAACACACAAAACAACATAAATGAACCTCAGACTTGTCATGATGGGTGACAGAAGCCAGGCAAAAAGAGTACATACTGTATGAGGCCATTCATTAAAATTCTAGAAAAATGTCAACTAATAACCTAGGGTGACAGAAGTAGACAGGGGCAAGACTGGAGAGAGGGATGAATTACAAAAAGCCATAAAGATACTTTAGGAAGGGTGATGGGAATGTTTGTTATCTTAATTGTGGTGATGGTGATCAATTCCTATCGTACAATACACATATGTGCAGTTTACTGTACTTTCATCTGCCTCAACAAAACTACTCAAGAAGAAAAGCACAAAAAAAGGAATTCTGAGGATCAGAGAATTTGCAAAACTAATTAGGAGTAAAATAAAAATCAGAATTATGATTACCAGTGCTCCAGGCAGCGTTCAATCCACTGCCATCCTCTTTCTCTGTCACCACCTGTTCCCTCACATGCTCAGATTGTCCCTCTAATATGAAGGCTGCCCCCGGGAACTCAGATGCCAGTTCACACAGATACAGTCTCAACCTTTTCATTCCCCTAGTTAGTTCTCTGCTATTTCCCAAAATAAGGTCTCTTGTGCACTGGCTGCATCTTGGCAGGCATTAAGCATGCATGGAGGGAGGCACTGACAGCTGCCCTGGCAATGGCCAGACAATACCACTTCACTGGGGGAGAAACAAGATACTGCTTTCTACACAGAAGGAAATCACTTGCAGATGTGCAAATCCCAGATTACACCAACAGCAGAAGGTACAAACAAACCACAGGCCTATTCGCAAGGGGAAAGCACCCAATTTCAAAAGGAACGTCCAACTCTGAGGAATGGGAAAGCAGCTACTTAAGGACAAGGATGACCTGAAAATTCCCATTCCAAATTGTGCACATACTTCGACTATTCTGGCCTTAATCTCCTCCATCTGAACAGGTACCTATATTTTCGACCATACCGTACACAGTGTCTGAGTCCCATTTCTCTCAGCTGGAGGGAAGGTAAGTCCTGCCACAAATGAGATAAGGCACATGACGGGCCTCTGGAAATTGTGAAGAGTCAAACGAATATTGGGTGTTATTACTGCCTTATTTATTACATATTTAACTATGAAAATGCATACTGCAGTCCCAGTAAAAAGCATCATGAGGATGGGAACTATGTCTGCCAGTTCTTTGAGACCCCCATGGCGTTCAGCCTGAGGGTGGTGCTCAGTAAGTTCCTGTTGTGTGACCTGTTGAGTTTTACTCGGTGGCTCCTGGCATACACAGAGTTCACTGAAAGCAACCCCCACAGGATGAGACCAGAAACACTTCCCTTGCCTTAATAAAGCATGGGAGGCTGGTAAAAAACCTTTTTTTTTTTTTTACAAGTTTGGAAAAACTGAACTAGTCCCACTTTTAGAATTGGTATAACCAGTGCCCAAGGATCCAAATTAGTTATACAGCCTTACACAATCTTAAGGCAAAAACAGAGCCTACTTCCTACTTCCACAGTACAGAATGAGACAAAAGTACTCACATGGCATAGCCAAGGGGAGGCTTGCCTTCAGTCTCAACAATATTCCAAAATAATAATGATAATAGCCAGTTTCAAAGTTGATGCCCTTTGCTGCAATTTGCTGATACATTCAGAAAATATTTACTGAGTACCCACTCCATGCCAGGCACTCTTAGTTACTACGGGTAAGGGAGTCAATAAAACAGACAACGTCTTTGCCCTCATGGAACTCTAAATCTTGGAATGTTTATTAAAATTCACAGATTTTTTTTAAAGGGTCTGATTTTTAGTTAAAGTAACTGCAAATACAAATCAGCACAGCTCATGAGTAGCTCTCAGTACCTCTCTTTATAGTCGTATTTGGCATTGGCCTCTACCATGGGCCCTATGTTTCCCTGAAATGCTGGGCACAATTCACATTCTCACATAAACAAGAACCAGGGGAGGGAGAAGGGGATAGAGAGGACAGGGGTGGACAGTGGGACTCTGACCTCTCGCCACCTGGCTCCAGCACTACTGGAGACATACACGTTTGTCTTGCTGGCCAAGTTCCTTCCCACTGAGCCTAAAATACAAGAGGAACAGTTATTATTAATTTCAAGAATATGTCAGATAATCACCTCACCCAAACAGAATTTCTGAGTAGTATCTAACAACTAAGAATGTCTTAAAGTCACAAAGAATGGGTACTGCTGGAGATGTGAGTGATCACTCTATTTGGCTGCACATAACCAGACAGCAAACCCTTTGTGAGAACAGGCAAAGAACACTTACCGGTGGCAATGATGAGGCCTGGAGCCGACTCCTTGGATAGAATGGGCATTCTTCGGAGCTGAAGGTTGAGCAGCTGACTAAGGCGCTGGGCCAGATGGAGGGAACAGCCCTGGGAAAGCTACAGAACAAAAGTTCCAGGCCGTGTCAGCACGTGATACAATGCCTCGATCTCCCTGTAAACCCTAAGGCCTGTATGATGACACTGCGGCTGGACACAGGGCAAGGAGGCCTGACCCAGAGGAAACCAGACTTACAGTCCGGCTGTCCCCACACTCTCCCCAGACAGAGAAGATCATCTGAACCCACATAAATGTCTCATTGAAGAAAAGAGAACAATAACAACTTATAAAGGCCTTCTGAGACTCTCAGAGAATCTCAATTAGAAAACAGTATCAACCCAACTCAAATAGACAGGAAAGGTATCATTTCTCCATAACACCCTGAGATCCTCTCAAGTGACAGAACTAAAGAGAAATGAAATGATTTTGTGATATTTATTTCTAAGTCAGTGGAGATGTGTTTCAAATATGATTCAAGAAATTCTGTCAGAAGGAAAACCAAAAATCAAGTCATAAAGTCTCAGTGATAAGTTCCCAGATGTACAACATATGAGATATAAACACCAAAGGATTAAAATTATTTTTATATGCATTCTACATTTGTACAAAGGTGTGGGTGTACAGAACAAGGTTTCAAGTTATTCAATCTGGTCTCCAACACTTATGTTCAGATTTTAACAGTTCTGCAAACAATCAAAACAATGCCTTTTGCTACATGGTCATGCTCAATTCTCCTGGCCAGAAAGTGAGGGTTGAATGTTACTCAGATGTTGCCTACATTCGAAACAGGTGAACTATGTGCTCATGGTCAGGTAAAAATGGTAACAAGGGTTACTGAATCTACTTATTTTTGTCACAAAAGGATCTCTAACAAATAACCATCTTGCAGTTTGATCAAAGGAAATAGGAGCAAATTAGGTTGGGTCTTGAAGTAATATTTGCAGGCCCATTCCCCATTCTGACCCATGTTTCTTTGCCTGAAAGGAAGTTCATTTGAGTTTCTGTATCCTCAGGTAATCAGACTTAACCACTCCTATACATTCCTTCCCCCACCTAAACTGAGACATAGAAACCAGAAGCTGATTAACCGTCCTTCTGATTGGTCAGGGAAATAAAAAGCTGAATTTTAATGATCTCATTAACTCTATTCAATGAAAGCCTGACCCGCACAGTATGCTCAAAAACTGACCCAGCACTATCCACCCCAGGATCATGCCAAGCAGCTGAGGTCTGAAGACACTACTGAGGGAAGAAGAAGCACCTAGATAGTTGTCTATAACTATTTATAGCCCACCTCTTTCCTAAGACTGGATGTGGTAAATCAAGACCCATTGCCAAATAGAGAAGAAAAATCAAGAAGTACATTCTAGGGCAACAGTCTCCTAAAGAATTCTCCAAGGGTCAGAGGTACGGCATACAGGTACAGCATATAACTTACTATGGACAAACACAATTTTTAAAAATCCAAAAGACCAAGTAATTTTCTAACTAAAGTGTTATAGTCTCTCCAAAATGAGTACTACTTTTTTTTTTTTCTGAGTTCCTTCTGTCTAGAAGTGGTGGTGGTGCATTGGCATGAGTTTGGGAACGGCAAGGGTAAAAGTTTGTTCCATGCAATAGTAATGGAGTACTATGTGATCTTGCATTTTTCCAATGAAGACTAGATATAGGAAACTACTACAGAGCAGAGCTCTTTTCCTTGTACTGAAAAGCAAAACAATATTAAAGCATCTATACCTCACAATTGATTTTTTCTCCATATTCCGTGAAGGCTGGAGCCTGAAGAAATTCCCAAGTTCCCCCTTTGTCAAAGGTGATAACCGATCTCATGTTCTCCTCATTCATAGAACCATTAATCAAAGTAGCAATGTAGACGCCTTGTAATCCTTCCACTCGGTGGAAGTCAGCAAATGGTTCATTTGCAAAATACCTACAGTAAGAGAAAATAAACAGTTATGAGCCTGAGTTGATATTTGCTTGTTTTACATAACATAAAATTTTACCATTTTATAGTATACAATTCAGTGGCATTAAATGCACAATGTTATACAACCAACATCACCATTTATTCCAGACATATGCATCATTCCAAAACAAAACCTTGAACCCACTGGCAATCACTTTCCACTTCTTCTTCCCTCCCCAGGCCCTAACAATTACTGATCTGCTTTCTGTCTCCATGAATTTGCCTCATCTGGATATTTCATATAAATGGAATTATACAGCATGTGGCCTTTTGTATCTGGTTACTTTCACTTAGCATAATGTTTTCAAGGTCCATCCATGTTATAGTATGTGTCAGTGCTTCATTCTTTTCCATGGCTAAATAATCTGCTCTCTTTTTAAAAAATAGATTTTTTTCTTTAAACTTTGAAGGCCAAGATGCTTATCTGATCCACAACTCCTAACAGGAGTGTTAGAATGATGAACATACCAAAATTGACCCAAGAGTCACATCTACTTCTATACTACCAAAATTGGCACCAAATCCTCCAGTGAGCCTTGACAAACAGGAAACATTAAGCCAGACTTGCAAGACACTAATGACGATGCTGAGGCTTAAAATTTAACCACATCTGTGGGACTGTAGCTAAGGGTTGCACAGCTACTGTCCAGGTACCTACAACCTAATTATTCAGCACCCTGATCAGATAAAAGCCCACAGGGTTTTCTGTCAGGAAGCCCAGCAGAACATATCAATTGCTTCCTAAAGAAACAGTACATACAACAATGATGGCTGTAGAACACTTGAGGTTATATTTATTAACAGTGAAAAAGAGAATAAGCCCCTCCTGGATTTAATGACTATGCTAAGACACTGTGATTTCACTGGAAAGCAGTTTTGCACTTAACTGGTGCATGTGTCACAAATACAATGGATATCTGAGAAAAGGTAACCAAAGTTCACATGTGGTTTTTGAGATAAAAACATGCCCTTTATTTCAGAGATTCTGAGATGCTGGGCTACGCAATGAAGCACGGAGAGCTGTATTTTTTTCCATCATCTGCCATACAATGTCTCGAGCTGGATGACTGCTCTGCCACTTCAGACAGAAAGACACAAACAACAGCTTTTGAGACAGGAAAAGAAAAATTAGGAGCACCCCCGAAGCTACTGTAGGCTGAGAGGCTCAGCAAAATCCCAATGAAATGACAGAGTTGAGACTAAACTCTGACATATGATTTCCTTAGATCTATTTCTGTTATTTTTCAGGTACTTCCTTAGGAACGAGCTGAAGGTCTATTACCCTCCTGCTCTCTGTTAACCACTGCTCTATATCTTTTGTATCATCATGAAATCTGCCATCCTGAGGTTTATTGGCTTCTTTTATACATAGTATCTGGGAGGTTTGGGTTTCTCTCATTTAGATGAGCCCTATTTCTTGCCCCTAGTCATATTTCTGGAGTTTTATATTTCACTTCCGAGTAGAATCCTTATCTTCCTGTATCTCACATGCTTTTCTGCCACGAGTCCCAGTTCATCCTTTCTTTCCTCTTGACCTCCTCTGCAACAATTTGCTCACCCTAAGTACTTTCTCTGAGAGTCTATTTTCTTCCATTTTATCCTCACTGGCCCTTACCAGAGTGCTTCTCTCCTTCCCAGAGTACCCTGGGACAAGACTTGCCAGGCAGTTCATCAGGTCCTCTCTCAGGCATACTCTGAAGAATTCATGCCCTGGCAGCCATCCCCTCCAACCAAGACTGTGACAGTGCTCCTCCTTAAGGTACCCCTATGGGTCTGACATATCATCAGCACATTAGATTCTTCAAAGCACCCAGCATCTAGCTACTGATTTCTATGAGATTTCTACACAGTACATCTCACCAATGCCAGGGCCATCCCTATTAAGAGTTCGTTCTCCATTTCTCTAAATAAATTAGAAACAGTTCCTGGGCACCAAACTGTCTTACTTAGTTCAAAGAATAGCTCATTTCAAATGCCCCAGAAGTTTACTCTAAACCAGACTGCCCACATAATCTAATTCACCTTTATCCCATTTCATTTGGTTGAGACTGAGATGCAGATGACAAAATGTTATTCAACTGAGCATATCTAAACCTCTCTAGACCTGAGATAAAATCTGAAGAGAAGAATAAGAAAGTTGGGTGGGATGTTGATCTATAACTCTTGACGTGAATCTATTTTCAATCTCTTAACTGGACTGTATACTCAGGCAAGGCAGGGGGGCCATCGTAACTACATAAAGGGCCATCTGTATATGTAAGAGACCTCTCTGGCTTATGGCTCCTATATTGCCCTATCATGAGATAGTCACCCTGAGTATCTGACAAATGAGAAAGATAAGGAAATCTTTAGCAAGCTGTGACTTATTCACCCTATAAACAGAGGCTTTCAAGGGTGAAAAAAAAGGAAAGAGTCAGTAAAAGCCCTAAAGTATAATGGCTCATAATTTTAATTTTAAAAAAGAATATTATCCACCCATAAAAATGAATAAGGTACTGATATATGCTACACATGGATGAACCTTAAAAACATTATGCCAAGTGAAAAGAAGTCAGACACAGAAGGTCACATATTTTATATGATTCTACTTATATAAAACATCCAGAAAAATATGGAAAAACTCATATAAACAAATCATATTGATAGCTGCCAGGGATTGGAGGAGATAGTGCAAAGAAACTGCTTAATGAGGATGGGGTTTTCTTTTGGAGAAATAAGAATGTTTTGAAGTTAGATAGAGATGGTTGTTGTACAACACTGTGAATGTACTAAATACCACTAAAAATCCTCACTTCAAAATGGTTAGGTTTATTCTATGTTAATTTCACCTCAATAAATTATTTTTTAAAAAATAAAAAGCCACAGGAGCCGGCCTGAAGGAGCTAGGAGCTGCAACTGACCAAATCAGGACAACCTGAGTATCAAAGTAAATCATGGCAGGAATAGTTAATAACACATTAAGTAAAAAATAATTTGTGAGTCTATGTCAGAGGGGAAGAAATAAAAGATGACAGCTCTGCCTAAAGAGAAGAAACAGGAAGTAGAAAAGCATTACCACCGGATAGGTAGAAAGCTGAGTACTTAGATATCTAATAGACATCTCCAGCCTGGTATGTCCAAAACCAAACTCATGATCTCCCCTGAATACCTGCTCCTGGCCAAGCCCTCCCTGATTCACCAGGCAGTCACCCTTCTGCAGTGACTCAGGCCAATCAGCAGTGGTCCCTTAGCTCTTCTTTCTCTCATACCTCTCATCCAATCCATCAACAGATCCCGCCAGATCTACTTTCAAAATAGATGAATAATCTGACCTTTCTGTCATCTCCAATGTGACTACCCTGGGTCTAGCCAACATCCAGCCTTGCTGACCTGGATATCTGTAATACTTTGACAATCAGTCTTTCTGTTCCCAATTTTGTCTCTCTACAGTAGTCCAGTTGCCACATAGCATTGAGAATAACTTCTGTAAAAGGTAAGTCACATGGGTGTTCACCAAACATGTCAAAAAGAAAAAAACAGCCTCATTACAAAGTGGGCAAAAGATATGAAGAGACACTTCTCAAAAGAAGACACACAAGCAGCCAACAGATACATGAAAAAATGCTCAGCCTCACTAGTCATCAAAGACATGTAAATTAAAACCATACTGAGATACCACTTAACTCCAGTCAGGATAGCCATCATCAATAACAAGAAACAACAGCCAGGCTTGGTGGCTCTGCCTGTAATCTCAGCATTTTGAAAGGCCGAAGGGAGTAGATTGCCTGAGCCCACGGGTGTGAGACCAGTCCAGGCAACTTGGTGAGCCCTTGTCTCTACAATAAATAAATTTTTTAAAAAATCATCCGGGCATGGTAGTGCATGTCTGTAGTTCTGGCTACTTGGAAGGCTGAGGCGGAAGGATCGCCAGAGCCCAGCAGGTCAATGCTGGGGTGGCTGTGAGCGTGCCACTGCACTCCAGCCTGGGCAACTGAGTAAGACTTCAACTCAAAAATAAAAAAAAAAAACATGCTGGAGAGGATGTGGGGAAAAGGGAATACTTCTACACTGTTGGTGAGAGTGTAAATGAGTAAACTAGTACAACCTCTGTGGAAAACAGTGTGGTAATTCCTAAAAGATCTAAAAATTGACCTTCCATATGTCCCCACAATCCCTCTACTGGAATACTTGGAAGAACTCAAATCACTCTATGAAAAAGATACCTGCACACGCATGTTTACTGCAGCACTATTCACAATAGCAAACACATGAAACCAACTGTGCTGCCCATCAAAAGAGGACCAGATTTTTTTAAAAAATGTGCCCGGCTTGGTGGCTCAGCCTATAATCCCACGCCTTTGGGAGGCTGAGGTTAGTGGATTGCCTGAGCCCGTGGGTTCGAGACTCGCCTGGGCAGCGAGACCTCATCTCTACAATAAATCAAAAAAATCAGCCGGGCATGGTAGCGCATGCCTGTAATTCCGGCTACTTGGAAGGCTGAGATGGAAGGATCGCCGGAGCCCAGCAGGTCGAGGCTGCGGTGGCCGGGAGCGGCCACTGCACTCCAGTCTGGGCGACAGAGTGAGACTCCAACTCAAAAAAAAAAAAAAAAAATGTGGTACATATACACAATGAAATATCATGCAACCATAAAGAAGGGCAAAATTATGAACTTCGAAGCAACTTGGATGGACTTAGAGTCTATAATACTGAGTGATCTAGCACAGAAAGAAAGAAATGAGTATCATATGTTCTCACTCATAAGTGGATCTTGAACAACTATTGTAATACTATAAGAAAGGGATTGGCAGTAGCAGGAAACTGCCAGGGGAGGGGGGCATAACTCATCAACAAGTGTACCTGCAGAATAAACAGTTGCATACCTAACCCTGAATTGTACTCCACATATTTAAAATAAAAATTTTTTTAATTTTAAAATTTAAAAAATTGTATCATTTGTAACACTATCTACATATGTTTATTTTCTTTACATAATGCAATTCAGTTTTCTAGATGGAAAAGAAACTAAAAGATTCAGTCAGATCAAGCCCATCTTCTACTCAAAACCTTCCATTTCACTTAGAAGCAAAAAACAAAGTTCTTCGCATGTCCTTGAAGGCCCTATAGGGTCTGGGTCCCGCTGTCTTGGGTCCTGTCTCTTGTTTCTCTTTCCCCTTCTTCAGCCCTTCAAGCAACCCTGGCCTCCTCCTCCCTGTTTCTAAAACACGCCAATGCAGTTCCTCCTCAGCATCACCTTGCTTGCTGTCCCCTTTTCCTGCAGTGCTGCTTGCCCAAGTGTCTGCTGGTTCCCTTCCTCACATAATTAAGGTACCTGCTCAAACGTCCCTCTTCTGGAGCAACCTATATAAAAGAACACCCTTGAGAGCCCCGTCCCTTTACCTCACTTTATTTGTTTTCTCAATACATTGCCAAGCAGATCACATGTTTACTTATATTTTGTCTTCCTCAATTAGAATATAAACTTCATGGAAAAGGGACTTTGTTCTGATTTTTTCACGGCTGCAAATGTTATTTCATGGCTGTGCCTAGAAAACTGTGTGGCAGAGAGCAGCGGCATACTTGTTGAAGTAGTTGATGATGGAATGAATTTGCCAGCATGAGCAGAGACAGCAGACACAGGGCATGCCCTATGACCTGGTGGTCAGGGCCTCGGGGGCCAGACCCCACCACAGACCAATCAGCTTCACATAGGAGATTCTTTCCAAGAGCAGAGACACACCCTAACCACAGTCATACAGATCACAAATGATTGGTTTGTCACACAACAAATGAGAATAAATGGCCCTGAAAGGATCTGAAGAATCGACTCTCGAACCCCTGACTCCTCCAACAGTCCCCGATAGGTGTGGTGCTCAGAGAACACCCATAGCTGGGACTGCAAAACAGCTCCAAGCATGTGATTTCCAGATAAAGGAGCAATGACGTTGGTACCTTTCCTACAAAACAACACGGTGCAATTACCTTTAAGAAAAAGAGTCATGACGTCAATTAACCTGAGTACCTTGTAGTGAGGGCCTCACGGTCACATATGCCAGCTCTTGCTGACTTGATATTTTCTAAGTGCTCTTTCCCACTGGCTCAGAGACCAAAAAACCAGATAATTGAACAAAGGGAGCCCAAGGGAGTCATTAACAGAGTGGCTGTTACCCTAGATGTCACCTAAAACAGTGGTTTTCAGATTCGGCTGCACATAAGAATCATCTGGAGAGCTTCTTAAAAACCTTCATACCCAGGCCATACCCCAAACCAATCCACTGTGGCCTCTGGACATGTGAGCCAGGCATCGGGGTTTCTGAAAGCTCCCCAACTGAGTCCACATGTGCAGATAATATCGAAAATCACTGAACCAGAGAGAGGCTGATGGTTGTGCAGGTCTAAGAAGGCAGGGGAGGGACTCATGGTCTCCTTACCTCACCAAGGTGTCACTACCAGCCCCTCCTGGACTGTAGTAGAGCACATTCTCCAAGGACAGGGAGAATTTCAGCCCCTCCGCCTCTGAGATATATAAATTGGTGCGGTTGTTACTGTGACTGACACACACAAATACTTGGTCCTCAGAGGCATCTGCGATGTAATATTCCTTTGGAATTGAAAGTCAAAAGAGACATAAGTCAAAAAACAAATATGCCCTGTGGGCTTTTTCTATACACAGAAAAGCAATGACTTTCAAATGTCCCAGTGATATATGTGGGCCTAAAGCCCACAGAAAGCTCCCTAACCTTGGCAAAGACATTTTCATATCCTTCCCCTGAGGAGAACCTGAGACAGGTCTGCAGCTTGAGCAGGGCACAAAATAAGAATGGGCCACTGAACTCCATAAATGACCTAAAAACCTCTTTTTACTAATAATGTCTCCCTCTTTTTCCCATGAGACCTTTTATTCGTACAAAGTACAGTATAGATTAATGTGCATTTCATTTCCTTGTATTTTCCCCAAAGTGACTAAAGAAAGGCAGAGCCCACAGTAACACAAACTGTTCTCCTTCCTGTACCCCTCTGAGCTACTAACCTCCCACCAAATTAACTGCCAATGTCAAGGCCTTCCAATGTGACCTCCTCCCTGTGGTCCTTCGCTGATGTCCCCAGTCCGTGCTGATCTTTCCTACTGATCTCCATGTTACAATGCTGCAGATTCAAGCACTTGGCTATATTCGGTTTCTTCCTCTGCTAAGTTCTTGTCCTCTCCAATCTGTTTCTAAATGGTGGGACCCAAATCTCATCCCCTTTTGGAACCTAGCCATCTACAAGGAATACAGTAGGTACTTAATAAAAAATACTTATTATATGCAAACTTCCCATTGCTTCATTACTGGCACTTGAGCTGCTGACTCTGGTTCCAAGATCTCTGCTACTCCCACTCCACTTAAAGCAAATTAAGGCTCCCGTTCAGTCCCATTTCAGTGAAGTGGGAAACAACAGCTCAAGATGCCCAAAGGATAATGGTTCTCTCTAGAGAAAGTGATTTCAGGGAGGCTCCAGAAACTAACCTCCCCAGCAGGACATCCTCACAACATCCTTCCCCTGAGTTCTGTGTAACGACAATTACACTTCTTCCCATCCTCAAGCAGACCCCACTCACATTAATAGGATGTCTTGTGACAAACTGTGCTGCTCGCATTGGCTTCCGACCAAAGGAGACCCAGAGCTGGACAGAAGACTGCTGCTGACTGCCCAAGAGATGCTGCCAAGGAAGAAAAGAAGAAAATTAATTTTGCCAGATTACAGCTACTCAAAACAAGCAAAAAAGAAAACAGAAAAGTGAGACCCTTCCAATTTGACTGGAAACACAAAGCAGAGAATGTGACTGCAACTTAATATTTTTGTCATGTCTGCCATCACTGGACAGCTTGGGCTGTGCGCTTTATCCAGGATACCTGGTCTGCAACAGATACTAGATACTCCATGGATATCAGAAGAGGAAGGACAAGGGTATATGGGAGAATATATACTGGGGAGGGTGTTGGAGGCTGCCAATGCTTAAGAGGAGTGAGAGAAAGGGAGAAGATTATGCAATGGGGCTGAAGAGACAGGCAGGGTAAGAGCCTACAGCCCCCAAACCACCATAGGGTGAGATCAGTCACACCGTGCACACAAAACATGTTCCCATCTCCCTTCTACTCCTATTTTTAGATTACAATGATACTACAGTCACCAGGTTTTAATTTGTACCAAGATTGAGGGAATCTTCATTGACTTTGTTTTTTAATCTTTGAACACTTCTTAGTAAGGTCTTTTGCTAGAACATATACTTATTGATAGAGTATTCAACATGATATTGACCACTATCTCATTGTATTTTACAGATTTTAAGCCATAGCCAGATTCTTGAAAATGTGTATAAAAGCACTAGATTAAGAGCCAGCTCTGCTACCTAAGAAAATCACAAAATTTGTCTAGGCTTTGGTTTATTCATCTACAAAATGAGAAGCTTATTTGAATCAAGAGGTCACTGTAGATGGGTTTAAAGCATCCAGGATCCCTGTAAATATATGTGCAAAAAAATTTTTTTTTTTTTTGAGTTGAAGGCTCACACTGTCGCCCAGCTGGAGTGCAGTGGCACACTCACAGTCACACAAGCATCAACCTGCTGGGCTCCAGCAATCCTTCCGCCTCAGCCTTCCATATAGCTGTAACTACAGGTACGTGCTACCATACCCAGCTAATTATTATTTATTTATTTATTGTAGAGACGAGGTCTCACCAAGTCACCTGGGCTAGTCTCAAATCCGCAGGCTCAGGCAATCCACTCACCTTGGTCTCCCAAAGTGCTGGGATTACAGGCTGAGCTACCAAGCCCAGTCGCAAATTTTTTGAATATATGCAGTCATGCATTTTGCTATGGAGGGCCCATACCTTTTATTATATTCTCAAAGAAGTCCATGACTTTAAAAAGTCAAGGATGTTTGTTTGTTTGTTTGTTTGTTTTGAGTCAGGGTCCCACTCTGTTGCCCAGGCTGGAGGGCAGTGGCATGATCATGACAATCATGGTTCATGGTAGTCTGCACTTCCTGGGCTCAGGCAATCCTTCCACCTCAGCATCCCGAGTACCTGGGACTACAGGTACATGCCACCACGTCCAGCTAATTTTTTTATTTTTGTTTTGATTTGTTTTGTTTCTATAAAGAAGTCTCGCTATGTTGTCCAAACTCATTTCGAACTCCTGGGCTCAAGCAATCCTCCTACCTCAGTCTCAGCCATTCACGGACTTTTTTTTTTTTTTTAAGAACTGCTGTAAGAGCTGCATGTGGTTTCTTCCAGCACTAAAACAACATGACCATGAATTGAGGGCAAATGCTGCATGTCAGTTAGAAAAGACATAGGGAGGCATACCCTCATGTGGATATAATCACACAATGACTATGAAACTTGTTGAGATGTTGGGGTCCCCAGCCAGAAGAGGTCAGATTGGTTTCACTTATCTTTTATTAGGTTGCTATTTATTACAGTTATTAACTTCCTACAGAGTAGGGAATGTATCCATTTATTTTATCTGTAACATAAAAACTGAGTATCCTGTGCTCATACATGCCCCATAAATACTTTGTGAGGACCAAGCTGATAAATACAAGGTTACTTTTGACTCATTTGAGCAGTATGCATATTCAAGCCACCACTGAATAAATGGTTAAAAGTCAATTGTTTCAAAGAAGCCAGGCAGAGAGGTACAAAAGACTACCAACTAAAGTGGTAACCTGAAAACCATATTAATAGCTTATACTCAGTATGGGGAACATAGGAAATGACAGATCTATTAAAAATATATTAGCTGAATGAGTTCCAGCAAAATTATTACACAGAAATTTCAAAACATTTTGTTAAGTTGATAACATTTTATAGCTATGTCAGATGATTAGTTTAAGTCACCTTATATACTTTATAAACCTTTATGCATATAAATGAATACTATTGATAGTAAGAAGTATTGTGAGTTTCTGACACTTTTCTTAATAAACCATAGGTTTTTGGTGGGTTTGTTTGTTTTGCTTTATTTCACTATTATTATAAAAGTAAAACATACTCATAGAAAAAAGACATCCAACAGCACAAGTGGGTTATAAGATAAAACGCAGACATTCTGCTGTAAACCCCCAAACCCCTCCTCCCACTCTACCCCTCAGAGCGCCCACTGGCTAACAGCTCTTATGCATCCTTTCAGAAATGCTCTGTCCCATCACACAAGAATATTTATATAGTAACAGATGCTAGTGCTACGCCTGCCTCCAACATCCATTATCCCTTTCTTCCTGAGCAACAGGACCCCAATCACCACCTAGAATAAAAGATTATGGTCTCTACCTTTTTTGGCAGCTTCGTATGGTCATGTGACTAAGTATTAGCCAATGAGACTCAAAGAGAGGTATTGTGTTGGAGTGCTAGGAGGACTGCTCAAAGAGACTGACTTGGTTGGAAGATGTCCTACTTTGGCCTTTCTGTCTTACTTTATTTTTCCTAACTGTAATAAGAACTCGAAGGCAAGTGTAGACATCTTGGACAATGAAATAACCTTGAGAATGAAAATCATTTGGTAGGATGGTAAAATGGAAAGATAGAAGCCTAGATCCCTAATAACACCAGGACACCAACACAGAAGTCCTAGATTGCCTATCTCCAGGCAGCAATGAAGAGAAAACTAAACGCCTGGATAAGCTACCTTTTTTTCTGGTCTATTACCAGCAGCCTAACACAACTCCAAATTGATACAGGCTATTTAATTTTTCACATACAAACTGGATCATGATATAAATACTGTTATGCAACTTAACTTTTTCCATGAACTATGTATCTTACTGTTTTACAATGTAACTTTTTTATCATTTTATCTTAGACACCTCCATTTAACAGCTATTGATGGGCATTTAGGTTGTTTCCAGAAGCATTCTTCAACAAACACACTTGTATATATTACCTTTTTCAGAACTGTACATTATTTCTAGGATATACACTTAGGAGAATTCCAAAGTCAAAATTTTTATTTTTAATAACTGCCATGAAATGGCCCTCCTGAAAGATTGTACCAGTTTATACATTCACCAGCACACACACCTTCATCAACAACTAGGAATTATTAAATGTTTTAATTGACTGGGCTTGGTGGCTCAGCCTGTAATCCCAGCACTTTGGGAGGCTGAGGCAAGCGGATTGCCTGAGCCCACAGGTTCGAGATCCACCCGGGAAACTTGGGGAGACCTTGTCTCCACAATAAATAAAAAAAAAAAAAATTAGTCAGGTGTGGTAGCGTGCACCTATAGTTCCAGCGACTTGGAAGGCTGAGGCGGAAGGATCACCAGAGCCCAGCAAGTCGAGGCTGTGGTGGCCGGGAACATGCCACTGCCCTGCAGTCTGGGCGATAGAGTGAAACTCCAACTCAAAAAAAAAAAAAAGTTTTAATCTACATCAATCATACAGAGTCTGAGAATTTATAAAAAGTTTTTTCGGCCAGGCTCGGTGGCTCAGCCTGTAATCCCAGGGCTTTGGGAGGCCGAGGTGAGCAGATTGCCTGAGCCAGCAGGTTTGAGACCCACCCAGGCCACTTGGCAAGACCTCGACTCTACAATAAATAAAAAACTAGCCGGGTGTGGTAGCATGCCTGTAGTTCCGGCTACTTGAAAGACTGAGGCAGAAGGATCACAGGAGTCCAGCAAGTTGAGGTTGCAGTGGCCGGGAGCATGCCACTGCACTCCAGTCTGGGCAACAGAGCAAGACTTCAACTCAAAAAAAAAATTTTTTTTTTCTTTAATTTTGTGCTTTCATTTCTGGTAATTCAAAATAAATTCACATAAGTATCTGGATAACCTGAATTTCTATTTATATTTGAGATTATGTCAAGAGCAAAAACGAAATGGAGTTTCAAGGAGAAAAGAGGAGCGAGTAACCACATAAATGACACATTCTTATCAAGTGAAAGACAAAGGATATTGCAGAGAACTACTCAATTGAAAGTTTCACTGTAGTTCAGCTAGAGAAAAACAGTGGAAGAATTGAGACAATCTATGACATGTGGTATAGCACAGGGACACTAACACCTGAGCCACAGCATTCACCTGACACATTCTCCTATGGAGCAATAACAAAGTTTCAGCAAAACAACACCATCCACATTAATGCTGTTTACAAAACATCACTAAAATGTGACATCTGGAATATTTTAGGAAAAAAATAAGTAACAGGTAGATGGCTAAGGGAGAGGCTGGCAAATGTAAGTAATTAATATTGAAGCTGGATGAGGGCATATGGGGAGGTTATATCAGTATTAACTGTTATTTGGTGTAGTTTGGAAAATGTCCATAATAACATTAACAAAGTTAATATTAATTGGAAGCACTTCTAGAATGGCAGAGTAAGGAACTCTAAAAATCCACTCATCTATAAAAGCAAAAAAAAAAAAAAAAACTGATGAAAATTCTCAAAATCAACTTTTTAGAATTCTGAAAATTAAATAAAGATTTGCAAATATCCAAGGCGTATTTAGTCAAGAACAATGGATGAATCTTGGCAAAAATAGCCAGCATTGGGACATTTTCATTTGCCCTAATCCTATTCCCCTCTCCCTAGCTCTGTGGTAACCTTGGAAACCCACAGCCTTGCATTTACAATAGTTGCGAAATACAGCAGCCTAGCAGCCCATGGAGAGGGCAAAACAAGTTTAGAGCTCCCAAAAAAGGCTGCCCTGCCTGGTGGTTC